TACAAAACAAACAAAAAAAAATATAGAAAATCTAGTTTTACAAGGAAGTATTGAATCCTTTAAAAGGAGAAATACAATAGTAAACTTTTTATTTTTCCACTGATAATGCTTATAAAAATAGATAAAATTATGCTCAAAATAGAAACAAATGTGTTCTATAGTCCGGCGAAGACAATTTTTAGATCAAACATGAAACAAAATGAGATAAATTATTTGAATATAATAAGATTAAATTTTATAAATTTAAATCTTGTACAAATCAAAATCACTAAAAATTGATGAATAAATTGGGCATAAAATCAATTATAAAACTCAAAGAGAGTCAATAAACATAAAATAAACATGCATGACTTACCCGATCTCAAAATCAGATTGAAATATGTGCAATCATATACTATAGAAACAATTATCACATCACATAAATTTAAATTTGTACAAGTGACACATCCATTTTTTTTTGGAGGAAGACTATAGACTGAAATTATGATGAATGTCAATCATTGTTTGAGTTATGTTTTTGCCCTTTTTCCTTGAAGAAAAATTAGAGTTTGTGAAGAAAAATGGTGATATCTCATAAACTGATATAATAAATTTCATGTAATGAAGAGGGGCATCTTCCCTACATAACTCAGCCACAAAGGAGTCACTGACTTTGAGGGAACATTCCTTAAAATTTCACATGAATTATAATTTTTAGATGAACAACTTTAAAGGACATTATTTGGACTTACAAATGTCATTGTTCAAATATAAAGAGGCAAATAATAGGAGTCTCAATTTTTTTTTCTAATTAGAAACACAATTTGATGCAATTTCAGTTGTCAAATCATAATTTATTTAGGTTAGAAAGTTCAATGATGAAGATAAAGATCATGTGAACTTTTGTTTTTCAATAAATTTGTAATGAAGACATTATGTTTCACATTCTTAATGATACTATGTCTAGAAAAGAATCCAAATGTGCATAAATTAAGCACAAAAATATAATTAAAAGCTTCTTAAAATCATTTAAGATGCTTAACCTTTTCAAAATTTTGAGTTTATAGTTGAAATTATCATCTAAATAACTCCAATATTGTTAAATCTCAAGTTTATTAACAAATTAAGATGTCCGCAAAAATAAAAATAATCAGAAGGGACATTCAATATCAGTCAATGGAGTATTCAAGAAACTTCTGGGAATGACTTAAAATTTTTACAGTAAAAATTCATAAAAAGATCTTGCTTTTGCAAATTTAGGGGGAATTTTTAATAAATAGAAATTAAATTTGATATGATTATTATGCTTTGATGATCGTCGACCGACATTACGCCTACTATTAATCTTCAATCAACCTGATGCTTTTCATCATATAACACTCATTATTGCCCAAAACTTACTATCGACAAACATCAACATTAATTATTCATGGATATTGATTCTTACTTTCGCCTTTTACTAAATGCAAATCACTGAGCAATATTCATTGTTTACCGGTTACTAACGTTTGATGCTCTTCCCAATTACTGATATATACTAATATTAGAAAAATGATCAAGATGACTACCATTGCCTCCATACATTAGGTATTCCAGGGCGATGAACACCCTGAGCTTGCCAATAACTAACACTCAACATCCACAATCCACACACATATGAAACTTATCACTCGATTGTTTTAATCTGATCCTTGTTAATAAAATGACCAACATTCAATACCAATTAGCTACTAACATCCATTCTCATCTTCTCCATCATCTAATCTCCCCTCCTTTTAACAGTCCATGTTGATGATTTATTATCACCTAATAATGGATATTCTTATAAAAATCACCCAAAGTGTACCAATGACCGACTTTCCATGAACAACAATATTTGCCTTCTTGATCACCCAATATTCCTTTTTATTAAAAGAATGACTAAGCTAACTATCAATTATCACTTGAGTTTTAGCATTTGTATCAACTATCATCTAATACTTATCAATATATAATGTTTGTCAACCACCATTAAATAACTCACATCTTCTTAATCACTAAGTCTCTCCTCTAGTGGGAGAATGACCAATTTGTCTGTTATTTACCACCTAACTTCTAATGCTCCTTGCCAATAATTTCAAATGCACACCAACAACTGATGTATTGCGAGGACAACGACAACTAACTCATGATCATGCTTTTATGTGTTTCTCAAAGAATGATTAAGCTAATCAAGTTCATACATGGTTGTCAAAAGCATGTTTTGAAGTGTGCTTCGCATTCGAAGCAATGTGATGTGATGATGAAGGTCCACTTGACATCATGTTCTCTTGTCGAACGAGCATGAAGCAAGTGCTTCACATTATCACGTACTTGCATGAAATGCAATGAAGCCCTTTGCCTTGACATAAGCCAATTTAGGCATAAGGTTTGATAATATAAGGGCTTAGGGTATCGAACTAGCAATATAGTATTATAAAGCCCACAAGTTTCTTCCCCTCAATTGAGCCTATAAGCTTTGACGTGACAACAACAACAACATTAACCATCATTAACTTCTACACATCCAATAATTTCATGTGAGTGCGATATTTATTAGGATTTTGTGAGAATAAAGTTGATGTAATACATGGTAAGTAATGTGATCAAATACAAGGAAAATAAAAAAAATAATCGGACTAATCATGAGGAACTTGATGATGACTTATTATTAAGACTATTTATTTAAACTTCTGAGACATAATTTTTTTCTTGTATGATTATGTGCATGTATTTAATTATTTGATTATGTGAGAAGAATATTAAAAATTTCAATTTCATTGAAATTTAAGTATTTAAATTATGAGGGAATATTATATAAAATTATTAGATGATTAATTAATTGTATAATAAAGCTATAAACTAGGGCTGACCGAAGAATACTCAATTCCCTTTTTTCATATCTAGAATATTTATCAAGTGCAACCAAACTTCGAAAAGAAAATTCAAATTGAGAGATATTATCAAGTCCAATTTGTTTGGATTATCTTAAAGAAAATTGTGAGTAATTAATTAGGGAAATGAATAATACTGACTAGCAATGATTTGGTTATTAAAATCTCATCTGAATATAAATTAAGGAGGAATCATAGAGAATTGATTGAAGATGCTCTGTAACACTTAATAGGTAAAAAAAAGTGATTCATCTATAATTTGGGCTAGTTCATCCCAACCTACATCTACTTCAATTATCCAAGAAATAAAAGATGGGATTAACTCTTTAAAACATGAGAAGAATAAAAAAAAAGGATTCTAAAAATGAAAAAAATTCTACATGAAGAAGAAATTGATCATGCTAATGAAAAAGGGTAAGATGACTAATTATTTTTTCTTAATTTATTTTTTATATATATAAGACTTAAAACTTCATTCATTTAATTTAGCCTTTTTATAAAATTTAGTGTTTTTATGCTAAGTTCAAATTTTAATTTTTTTTGCCAAAAACTTAATTTTAACCTTATTTTCATTTGTTAATTCTTATTCTTAATAAAAAATATTAAAAATATTAATATGAAAGTTCACCTTCTACATTTCTCTTCAACTTAGGTATATTAATAACATTCCTTTAGTATGCTATATCATATTTCAAGTCTACTGTATCCTCCAATATTTTTCTGTTAATAATGAATGCAACAAAATATGTATAGGCTTAAGCAAATTAAGAATACCATAGTATAAACACCTCTTTGCATTTCATTTAGTACTAACAAAAAAAATAAAATATTTATACACTGCATATGCTTTATAATTTGAAAACATTGCATATATTATCTCTCAAATTTTCAGACTCTCTTTTAATTAAATAGTGCATTACAATATATAATCTTTTTCTCCAGTCATCAGAAAGGGCACTATTTATCATTATCTTCTGCTACTTCATTGTTTTCAATTGAAATAAACCCTCATCTCTAATGTTTTAGTCTAACTTGTGCATTGAAGATCTCATAATTAATAGTAAGACAAAAACCTCTTTATCACCAACAAGTTACATGGCAATGAATTGGAAGCTTATCACTCATTGTTTTTCTCACTGGGGTTGTTTAGGACAGCCATCTCTCAGCTTTGTGTCCTAACTTGTTCTATGTTTACAAATTGACAAATGATATCAATTGTGTTACTAATTTATCTTTTGATGATTGTGTTTTCTAGAAGCTTCATTTGGAGGAGATGATTCAAACTGCTGAGAGAGTAGATAGACCCTACTATGTCCAAGTGGAGAGCACACAGAGTGAGTATACGCCACTCAGAAGTTGTAGCTTATGTCGTATCATTGAATGTGACATAATGTTTCATTATCATTTGGGTCATACTAATTTTCAATATTTAACAAATTTTTATCCTTTGATGTTTTCTAATAAAAATTTTTCTAACTTCAATTGTGATGCGTGCCAATTAACCAAACATCATCGAGTTCATTATCTACTTTTAACCATTAGAACTTACCCAACATCTTTATAATCCTCAAAGGCATTCCAACACTAGAGAAGCATTTGATAGGAGATAAAAAACTACTAATATAGAAAGGCTATCGTGCCATACAAATAAGGGTGCACAGTAACCTAATTTGAAAGAGCTAAATATTTAACATTTTAATACAACATAAAAAACAATATAAAATATTTTAATAATATTATTCATTCAATTATTTAATTAATTTCAGTCCAAACAAGCAAAAAATAATCAAATAAAAATTAATTCGTATTGAACTCATTTATAAACCGAGCTAAAATATAATTATAAGCGCCCGGCTCATTGTTTAACAAACAAATCGAACACAAGCTACTTAACTGATCAGAATTGGTCATGAATGGCAAACTTTAACAACCCTCTTAAAAACTAAAAGGAAACACCATATACTTCAGAAAGGCCTTATGAGTAACCACCTTGTTACCTCATAAGCACAATACTCAATAACCAAGATTTATAACAGTTGAGGAAATATCCCAATCATAATATTCAACAAGTCAATTTAGGTTCATAATGATTATATTAATAAAATATAAAATTACGCTGTGGGTGTTAGAGGTGTAAATACATAAAAATTGAGTGGTTTGTATGTAAATGGCCAACAACATATTAGTGTTAGAAGCATCCTCTTGACTATCCAATCAGAACCAAAATATATGCCTCTAAATGGAGAATATGGAGACATACTTGCCTCAGTGTTAAGCTTTCAGGCAATGGGATAAAGTGCATTATATGGTTATATAGGCCGGAATATGATGGCCGGAAACTAAGCATTTGTAATGAAGTGAGAATTAAAAAACCAAACAAAATGAAAAAAACAGTATATTGAGATGCGGAACAAATTGTTAAGATATGGGTTCTATTGATAACTTGAGAGTTGTTCCACATGCTTGTTAATGGCTTCTGGATAAGTTTGAGCTCGGAGAAGTTCCAAGCGATTGTAAGGATGGACGAATTGTAGGATATAATCTTCATCTGTCATTTAAAATACTATCAGTTTAAGTTCAGAATAGATATGCAAAAGATTAGCGGCGGCGGCGACGAAAAAACAATGTTCAGATCTCACCGTCTTTGACAGTTCCGTAAAGCCAGCAGAAGACCTCGTCGGCGAATGCAAGGCAAACCCCACCCTGCAACAAATAGAAATATAAATGTGCTTATAAGGGAAGTGTGATGGTTCTATGCCCATCTGATTAAAGATAATCGGGGCCTTTACATACATAACCACACAATTCTTATATATTTACATATCTAACACCTAAACTTTAAAAATTTACATGCATAGCATTCAAATCCTTAATATGGCATGAAAAATGCCAATATTAATACTTTTAGATAGCCAAATACATCATTGAACCTACCAGTTTATCACCTAAATTATTATAAATGTAAATAGGAAAGTTTTAAGTGACACGCACGCGCGCACACACACACGATATTTATGTAAATTTCCCAAATTAATAAAAACTCAGAACTTAATATTTTTTGTCATAATATTGAAGTATCCAGTAAGGGCTAGCTTGTTTTACAATAATTGTTAGAAATTATAGATAATGGGTTTGGAGAGGAATAAAATCCCTTGATTTATTCACATGTCGGATACAGATATATAAAGAAAACAAGCCCCCTAATTTACTAACATACCAAATATATCTAACCTAAATTAGAGAAGGAAACAATTCTGAAATAAAAAATAAAATAGCATAGAATAGGAAGGGAATAAACTAATCAAGAGTTTTACAAGTTATCCCCGCCAAATCCTCCAAGATCTTCTCAGATTTCATCAAGGATCTCAGATTTCTACACAGACCCTCATGTTGGGTCGTAGATGTTGTAGAGATCAAGCTTGATATTGAATTCCAAGCTCCTTCAAGGAAGAGCTTCGGTGAAGACAATAGCAACTTGTTGGTATGTCAGGATGTATGTTAACTGTATAATTCCCTCATTAACCATTTCAAAGAAAACTTGTCTATCAATTTCAATGTGTTTGGTCTTGTCATGATGCACAAGATTCATGGCAAAACTGATAGTTGTTTGACTATCACAAAACATCTGTATAGGCTTATTGGATGTACATCTCAGTTCCCATGACAAATTTTGAATTTAGATTTATTCACAGATTCCCAAGGAGAGTGTCGTATACTCTAATTCTGCACTGTTTTAGAAACAACCGCTTGCTTCATACTTCTTGCCACAAGATTTTCCCATTCATAGGAGCAATAACCTATAGCGGGCCTTCTGTCAATGAGTTCCCCACCCCAACTAGCATCAATGTAGACTTTGCCTCTATTCTCGATTTGCTAAAAAATTAATCTATAACCAAGAGTTTTCTTGAGAAACCTTAAATTCTATACACCATCTCCAAATGCTCTTCATTTAGGCTATTCATGTGTTGGTTTACAATACTAACAAAGTCTGCAATATTTGGCCTCGCATGTGACGGGTAGATGAGTTTTTCTACAAATCTTTGATACCTTCCCTTATCCACAGAGACACTTTCTTCTCCCCTCTTTGGCTTCTGCTTGGGATCTATTGGAATATCAACATACTTACATCCAATCATCTCTCTCCTTCAGTTGATCCAGGATGTATTCCTCTGTGATATAATGATGGCTTTATTGTACTTTGCTACCTCCATCCCTAGAAAGTATCTCACAATTCCTTGGCCTTTGATTTTAAACTCGGTAGCAAGCACTTCTTTGATATTGAGAAGCTCTCTTTCATAATCACCAGTAAAAACATATCATTCATATATACTATCAATGTAGCAATCTTACCTCTTTGAGCGTATTTTACAAACAAAGTATGATCAACTTGACTTTGAGAACACTCATTAGATCTCATAGTTTTAACAAATCTTTCAAATCACGCTCTTGGTGATTGCTTAAGCCCATAGAGTGACTTCCTGAGTTTGTATACTAAGTATTTGTTAAAATAATGCTCAAGTTCTAGTGGTATCTTCATATATACTTCTTCCAGTTTCTTATTCAGGAAGTCATTTTTCACGCTAAGTTGATGTAATCCCCATTTCCTTTTCATTGCTAATAAAAGGAGAACTATGATAGTATTAATAATTGATACAAAGTTCTCCTGATAGTCGATCTTATAAGTTTGAATGAAATCTTTTGAAACAAGTCTAACTTTGAATCTCTCACTACCCCCTTCAACTTTATATTTGATGTTGAACATCTATTTGCATCCATCGGGTTATCTTGAGATAGTTTACTAAAAATCCATGTACTATTATGCTTTAGTGCTCGAATCTCCTCTTCAACTGCTTTCCTCCATTCTGACTTTTTAAGAGCTTCATGAATGAAGTTAGGAATCTACATATTATCAAGGACAAAAATAAAAGCTTTGTAGGATGAGGATAGCTTCTTGTAAGCTAAATACTCTTGAATTGGATATCTAATACAGCTTTCCTTGTCACCAACATCAAAAGAGGAAGGAGATAACTCAAGTATACTAGACTCTCCCTTACCCAAAATTTCAGGTGAATGAGGACTCTAGTTTTGATTTGAGCAGTTATATCCTTGCAAGATGTCTTCCACCAACACAATTTTTCTTCCTCCTTATGTACACTTGAATTTCTTTGCTCTAAACTTCAGGTTGAGTTGGTTAGGCATCATCAACCAAGATATAACAGCTGGGTGGAGTAGGTGGTGAGGTGTCATCCAGTGTATCCCAAAATTGATGTTCAATTGTACTCTTCCCATGAACATTAAATTTGAGATAGATTGATTGATTTTCAAAAAATACGATATCAATGGAGTTATATTTTCTGGTAACAGCTTGTACCACTTTTTGTTAGTAGCATATCGAAGAAAAATATACTTGATAGATTTTGGGTAGAGTTTTGTGTGATTTTGAGAATGGATGTGAACAAAGGATACACGCTGAAAGATTTTAAATGGTATAGTGGAAGAAAAAACTCTAATGTGAGGATAGATAACCATCAAAATATGAAGAGATATTCTGAAGTTAAGCACCCGACTAGACATTCAATTGATAAGATATGTTGCATTAAAGTTTGCTTCATCCCAAAAAATATTTTGAAACTTGATGGGACATCAACATTGAACGGTATACATCATGAAGATGCTTGTTCTTTCTCTCAGCTGTCTCATTTTATTATAGGGTATCAATACATGAACTCACATGAATGATTCCATTTTTTGAAAGATCGAAACCAAGGATGAAGTTGAAATATTCCCTTGCATTATCATTTCCATAGATCTAAATTTTGCATTGAAATTGAGTTTGAATCATGCCATAAAAGTTTGAAAGATTTGGGTTGTTACAAAATATTTCATCATTACGAATACTCAAGTGGTTCTAATGTGATAGTCAATAAATGAGACAAACTATCGGGCACCACTAAGAGTTTTCACTTTTTAAGGTCCTCAAAAATCACAACGGATAATGACAAAAGAGTGGTGGTTTGCACTTGTCAAATGATAACTATTTTTAGGGTTAGTGTGTTTAACAAGTTGACAAATCTCACATTGATAAAAACTATATTTTTTATGAACAAAAAATGAAGATACAACTTAACATAATTGAAATTAGGATGACCAAGGCCATAATGCCATAACAAGACCTGATTTTTGACAAACATGGACTCAAAATAATAAAAAAATCGAGGAGAACATGGAGGTGTGATCATCTTTGTGTTTAAAGAGACTTTTCTTGAGTAAGTATGTGCCTTGGTGCATTTCAACACTTACAATCATCTCCTCTGACTCCACATGAAATTCACGAACTTGCAAGGAATTTAGTTATACATTTTATGCCATGAGTAAGCTTACTGATTAAAATCAAATTACGATCCAATTGTGGAACAAATAAAACTGAGAAAAGAGTAATATCTTGAGACAACTCCACATCTCCTTTCCCAATAATGTTTAAGTCTGAATCATTTGTAAGTCTTACCGATCTAAATGTAGAAGATTTTTTATAGTTGGCTAGAGCATTGATATCTCCAATCATGTGATTAGAGATTACTGTATCTATGATCCATTTTCTAAATCTCCTATTACTGACATGACAAAATGAATATATTACCATGGTGTATTACGAGGTTGGTGTGTTGCTCTGAATTAACCCTAAGGAGTTTCTTTAGTACTTCAAGTTGCTCCTTGATGAATGGTTCAACCGACCATTCGAATGTGGTAGTCATATTAGACTTTTTCTCTTGATTTTTTCTTCCCTGTCCAGGTTTCCAATCTGTAGGTTTTCCATTAAGTTTCTAACAGTTGTCTTTGATAAGTCCAATCTTCTTGTAATACTCATATGTGTGCCGATTCTTATTGTGCTTTGAGTCATGGGAAGAATTATGAGTGTATAGGGCCGAGATTTCAAAACTTGGTGAAACCCTATTTCCAATTAGCATCAACTTTTTTCTGCTCTCCTCTCCCAACTCCAACAAAGGCTTCACGGGTAGATGGAAGGGGCTTTGTTCCCATAATCCTCCCTCACCTCATCTAATTCCTGAGTTAGTCCTACTAGAAATTCGATGGTTCTCTTCTTCTTGATAAGAGATTTAAACGTCACAACATCATGTGGACATTTCCAGAAGTCTCAAACATATCCAATTATAACCAATACTTTGTCAGTGTGCTGAAATATTGGGTGACACTTAGCTCTCCTTGATGAAGATAATAACGCTTAATTTCGATCTCAAACAACTCTGCAGTATTTTCAGTGCTGGAATATGTTTCACTTACAACCTCGCGGATTTCTTTGACAGTTTTGTAGATCAGAAAAATTTCTCCCACTTCAGTGATCATGGAGTTGAATGGTAACCTTATGATCTCGATTCTTCCATGTGTGGTGGTTGGGTCAGTGATCTCAGGAAATGTGTCTTCTCCCGTGAGATGTTCCTCTTTTCTTTTACCAAAAATATACATAAATACGGATTAAAACCATTGAGTTTACAATTTGTGAGAAAATTAGAGAGTTCAGGAGTCGCCTGGACAAAATCCATGGTTTCTAATTCAGAGTAAACCTGGAGAGTTGAACTTGAAGTCTTCATCCTATAATTGGTCGTCAATTTTATGAGTCTTTAAAACTATTTATAGTTGACTACAACACAGAGAGTTGCTCGCTATCGCTGCTAACTTCCTGCTGC